GCTGTAATCTGGAGTGCAAAATTTCCAAGTTTTTGTGTTCTCGGGAGGGTTCTGTAGCTCCTGGTTCTGCCTGTACTGCCACTAGTTGCGGATAAGGTGGTCTTCGCAAGTCTCACAATGTTATTCATTTCAGTTCTGTACGATGGAAGGTTTCTTCACAGCGATTATCGATGAGTTTCCAATCATGCTTCGTGCTAGCAAGTATGGTCGGGAAATTTTCGTTGGAGTCATTTGTATCATATCGTACATCATAGGGCTCAGCACTGTGACTCAAGTTAGTTTTCAAATCTTTTGAAGCTACTCTCAGAATTATCTCGTGAAGCCTGCTTACACGCAAACACCATAAATAACAAACACATGGACAACGCACCGCTTGAGTCGTATTCACATATGTAAGGATGTCCGATGCATGGCTCATCCAAAAACAGCATACCATCTTTTGAAGGCGCAGCATCCGCAAGCTAGCTCTTCAGCTAGCTTCAGCAATATTTTAATGTTTGGGAGATTTTTGTACCAATGTGATAATTTCGAACATGTTTAAGGGAGGTTTCTATGTGTTTCAATTGTTTGATTTCTATGCCGCATCCGGTTGGGCACTGTTATGGCTGCTTTTCTTCGAATGTATCGCAATCTCGTGGAGTGTTGGTGAGTTGAAGTGCTATGTGCGGAGCCACGCCCTTTTTCACGGTGCATTCACGGTTTACACTTTAAGGAATCGATCGATGGTATGAACACATAAAAAGTATGATTGGCTACTATCCGAATCGATGGTGGAAGTTCTGTTGGGTGTTTGCAACACCAACAGTTTGCATGGTATGAGATGTGTCTTTTCAAAGGCACACTCCGCGCTGAGCCTATGGGCGGAATCAGGCCTACCGACGTGGCTTCCTCACTGAGACGTCTCTCCCTTATTCGATGGCAGTGAAAGTGGACGCACCAATGAAGAAGTCATGGCGGCGGAGTCGACTCCCCCATGTGACCTGCGCGAACTCTGCCTATAAGGCATTGTTCACAGTCTGCGGCCCAGCGTTTCTCTGGAACGCAGCGGTTCGGCGAAAAGCTTTTGATACGTATCGACTGGCGGTTGGGCGAAAGGGTTTTGATACGAATCGGCGTTTCGCCAAACCGCGACGTTTTTCGCCTTCGACGAAACGCTAGCTCGATCGCCCTGGCGTTTTTCGCCAGCGAAATCGATACGCATCATTGCTTTTCGCCCAACCGCCAGTCGATACGTATCGAAAGCTTTTCGCCGAACCGCTGCGTTCCAGAGAAACGCTGGGCCGCAGACTGTGAACAATGCCTAAGCGGGGCGTTTTGGTGCGCCGCCAGCCTCTTTTTCATCAATCGTCGCGGCTTGGAGCGTTTCATGGACAGCT